CACAAGGTGCCTCTTCCACACAGGCTTTTAATTGGACTGCGACGCTAGGCATGTAACTCCAGGCAGCTTCTTCTTTTTTTTTTTTTTTTTTTTTTCACCCCTCACAACCTCTCTGTTTCTACCCATCTCTCCTGGTTCTTTTTACTTGGGAGATTCAAAACACTCACCTTCTGCCAGCCAGGTCTCCTGCAGCTGACTGAGGTCCTGGAAGAGCTCTGGAGGAGGGAGAGAGGGAGAGAGAGAGAGAGAGAGAGAGAGAGAGAACAAGTCAGGAAAAAGAAAAAGAGTCAAAGCCCAGGAGAAGCATCAGAAACAACTGACTCCATTGTGGCGGCGCTGATGTGCCATCAGTGCCACTGGAGCATTGTGGGCAAGTGTGCAGCTAATAACAAGTCAATTTGTGTCTCTGACCTCTGACAGAGGCTTGAGAGAATCATCACAGGCCGCCGTGTTGTAATTGAGATTCTGTAGTTAGCAGTGCAGGTGGACACAAACCAATTGAATTTTGCTAAATGTTTAGGAGCCGTGAAATTAACTTCTTCCTCTCTGCCCTGTGCCTACCTTCAGTGTCCTGAGCCAGGTCGGACTTAATGAATTTTCTCTTTCTGTCATTTGCTGGCCTCTCGCAGCTCCTCGTCTTTTCTTGCAGCGTCTGGAAAGAAAAGAGAGAAAGAGAGAGAGACACACACACGAATCAATTGTTTTCTTTTCCTCACTGGAGCCGTGAGTGTGTTTCTTGGCTGCAAGTTCAGCGTTTAAATGAGAGAACGACTGGAAGAGCCTCAGTGAGCCACTCCGAGATGCCGCACAGACACACTTCTAAAGTCTGGCACGTGCACAGGGACCTGTGCTGCACTCATCAGACATAGCCTAATTAACAAGTTGTAACATGGTGCACAACCAATACTACTGTGTTAAAGTAGTGGGGACCTTGTTTAGCTGCTTATCTCTGATGGTCTGATGAAACTTAAACGGTCCCTGAGGGAGGAATGAGTCTTGGCAGCAGGAGAGAGACGGAGAGAGAGATGAGAGATTAACAGGAGAAAATAGACAAGACATGAAAACGGATGTGAGAGAAGGAGCAGGAGAGAGGGAGAGAGAGAGAGAGAGCATCTTCTTTTAGAGTTAAAGTCAGAGAAGAAGAAGAGGGGGTTGTTTGCAACTTTCTTTACACTCACTGTGGAGTTACAGTAAGGCACTTGCTGGTCAGGAAATCCATCCATGTTGCTCCACTGTGGCTTCAACTGACGATCAATCTGCTGAGTCTCAGGCGTCACACTGGAAAGAGCAACAGAGAGAGAGAGAGAGAGAGAGAGGACGTGAATGAGTGAAGATCACAGCTCAGGAAGCCTCCACCGCTGTTAGAGAGAGAAACATTACCGACAATCATTTCCGGTAATGTTGCAAAGTTACGTTCGACCGTCTGCAAAAAAATCCGTGCGTAAAGCTGGAGCGCGTCGAGCCAAAGAGCGCACGGAAATGTCCGTGTGTGGGGTTTTTTTGCGCGAAGAGAAAAGAGTTGAGAGAAGGATTTAAACCTGGAACTCTTACCCGGCGACCCCGCGCCGCTTTCACCCGCATGCACAGGGACCGTGAGGCGGCTGCAGGATCTCCACAGTCCCGGCTGCTGCCTGCGCTTCTCTCCCCCCCCGCTCACTGAGTCGCCTTCTAGCGGCTTGGCATCGCCTCCCGGGGCCTCCCATTGGAAACAAGCCGCACTCCGCTTCCTATTGGTTGTCAATGTCTTTCACTGGATCAGATCGCTGGCAGTCAATCGCGCACGGCTGCGGGCGGCGAGCGCGGGAGAGAGTCAGCGTGCGCGTAAATGTGGTTATTTTTTAATGACATTGAATTTGCACCAAGCTTCTGTTTGTTTTGTCAAGTTTTTAAAGTTGCACTCAAACTCATATGCAAAGAGGACTAAACCTACACCCCCCTCACACGCACACGCACACGCAGGCACTCCTCTCCTGGTCGAGCTTGTGTCCATGGTGATGGTGTTTTTGAAGCTCTGGCTCTCCTGTGAGAGATGCGTTTGTTGAGTCCTGCGCAAACACACTGACCTGGAAGTAAAGCACAGGTCAACTGAGGTCAACACCGAGGAGAGCGTCCAAAAAGGCCTGAGAGGGTGGAGGCTGGAGGAGGTCCAAGCCTGGAGCTGGTGAAGTGGGAACAGGCTGTGTGAGGCTGTGTAGCTGCAGAGTCCTGCTTTAGAAATAATGGATTTATGCACAGAAACACATGAGATCTAAAGAAAACACTGTGCATAATCGGAAAAATTCACAGGAACCACCTGAATTCAAAACAAACGTTCTTGTTCATGATTTGCTGATGTCATCACATATAAACCACTAAACATATTTTTACAATCAGCTCTAACATAGAAGCTGTTGATGTGAACTTATACTTGCACGTTTTAAATGATCTGTCACATCTTTGCTTTTTATTATCATATTGTCAAGAGCTTTAAATGTTCTAAACACATAAACACAACACATTTAGTTTGCAGGGATTCGGTCTTCTCTACATTTTGAAGCACATGAACACTGAAAACACAAAGACTACACAGTTCGGCACTAACAGTCAGTTCCCAGAGGCATAACTCCATTATCTACTTACCTTTAAAAGACAAATCGGTATCGGCTCCTGATCTGTCTAGTGCATTTTAAGCATTTTTTATAATTTCAAAAAACAATGTTTTAGCTTCAATTCAACACAAATCTCGATTATATTTAGAGTATTTCTCTAAATTGATTTACAGTAACTTCATAGCTGCATCCTTCCACTATGTAATTCTGTTCAGTAGTTTTTGTGTAATGCTGCCAAATAATAGACAAAGAAATAAATAAATGCAGATGAAAACCTCCTTGGTGGTTTTAACTGATGATAATAGTTAAAATTGTATCTCTACATTACAACAATCTAAACATTTTTCTGCTCTTATACAGAAGATCGAGTACAAACCCCTGAACTTGTACCACTGCATTAAACACCTGACTGAAAGACGGACATATCGGAAGTCAGTGGTGGTCACACTGATGCCATCTTGGATCCAGGCAGGGGTCCATTACCAGGCAGGTGAAGTGGATGTGAAGTGAAGTACCGTGTCACTCCTGCTGAATCCCCCCCCCCCGAGGACGGAGAAACGCAGGTCAAGTGCAGGCGTCCACCCTTCGGACACCGCGACACGCAGTAAGTGCCACCTCCGGGTAACATCTTTGTTGTTTCCTAAAATCCTGAGAAGTTGATGTGCTGAGGATTCTCCAGGTTAATGAGGTCCTGCTGTCGATTCCTGGAAAACCGGAACTGAGACACACGTTTGTTCAGAAATCATCAGTAAATGTTTTAACCACTTCTATAGAAGGAACAGTGCAACACACACACGCAAAGATGGATGACACTACTGCCCCCTCCA